CTGTTGGCGGTGTGCCTCCTCGCCGGCGTCTCGGCCGCCGCCCACCGCGCGCCGCCGCCATGGGAGGAGGAGGGAAGTGGCGGGAGGAGGGAGGAGGGAGGAGGCGGAGAAGGAGGAGGAGGAGGAGGAGGAGGAGGAGGAAGAGCATTGAGAGAAGAAGGAGCGGGAGGGAGGAGTGGAGGGAGAAGGAGGGAGGAGGAGGAGGAGGAGAGGAGAGGAGGAGGAGGAGGCGGAGGAGGAGGAGGAGGAGGAGGAGGAGGAGGAGGAGGAGGAGGAGGAGGAGGAGGAGGAGGAGGAGAGGAGGAGGAGGAGGAGGAGGAGGGGAGGAGGAGGAGGAGGAGGAGGAGGAGGAGGAGGAGGAGGAGGAGGAGGCAGGAGGAGGAGGAGGAGGAGGAGGAGGAGGAGGAGGAGGAGGAGGAGGAGAAAGAGGAGAGGAGGAGGAGGAGGAGGAGGAGGAGGAGGAGGAGGAGGAGGAGGAGGAGGAGGAGGAGGAGGGCGGTCAGGCGATTTCGCTCAGGCAGACCTTCACTTTCTCGCCAATGTCAAGATGAGGCTCGGTGCCCCGACTGCGCCGATGCGGCCATCTACCAGCACGCGTGTAAGAGCACGGGACAACGCTGCAGCGAGCCTCTTGATAGGACGGGCTGGCACGCGAGGGTCTGCGATGTCGGGGGGTCCTGGACGCGCCGTCACAATCGGCTTCGGGACTTGCACACCAAGCGCTATTCCGAGCTCACTGGACACGCGGCCACGACCGAGCAGCGGGTTGCCGCCTGGGACCGCCACCTCACTGACGGATGCCTGTAAGAGGCCGTTCTCGACGTCACAATCGGCCACAACACCGGACGCCACATCCACGTGTATTCAGCCATGATTTGCGCAGCTCAGCCCATGCCCTGCGCAGGCAGGCCCTGTCCCGCAGGAGTGGCCTTGCGGCGGCGCAGACGGTCGAGGACAAGCGGGCCTGGTACCCCTCGGCGCCGGGCTTGGGGCTCGTCCCCATGGCTTTCGAGGCCGGAGGGTGGCCCTATGAGAAGACGGCCGCTTTCGTGCGGAGCTACGGGGGCGTCTTGGGTGACGAGGAGCGCCCACAGCTCTTGAGCAGTCTTTGGCCTGAAATTTCGGTGCTGGGGCAGTAAGCCACCGCTGACCCTCACCAGGCCCGCCAGAACCAGCACCAGCACCAGCACGACCACCACCTGCACGACCGCCCGTCTCGACCACTGCACGGGCGCCTACCACGACCACCGTGACATCCAGGTCTCCCACGACCATCACGATCACCACGTCCACCACGAGTACCAGCACGACAATCAACGCGAACACGACCACTAGCACGACCACTACCGCGGCCACTACGACGGTTTTTGTTCCACGATCGCCGCGGGCTGCCACCCACACGCCCACCATGGGACGACCACCACCAGTGCGACAATCACCAGCTCGACCGCTACCAGCACGACCACTGAAACGAGCACGACCTGCACCAGCACGACCACCCCCGCGACGACTTGACGACCGCCCTCCGCAGCCCCCTCCCCTACGTCGTGGCCAGCCGCCCCAGCCTGCAACTTGCGCGTTTTGCCTCTTCCTCCTCCTCCCTCTCTTCCTCCCCCTTTTCCTCCGACGCCGCCTGCGTCTTCATTGTTTTGCTCGCACTGGCGTTCGCCCAACGCGGCGTCTGTGTGATCGGCTGCGGTGGCGGTTTGGGTACCGTGCCCCTCCGCGTGCTGTGTCCTTCCCGGCACCACGTTGGAGACGGGTGCCTCGGACCTCGCTTCTTTGCTGTCTCTCAGGAAGAGGGAGGGGGGAGTAGGGAGGAGGGAGCAGGGCGGAGGGAGGAGGGAGGAGGAGGAGGAGGAGGAGGAGGAGGAGCAGGAGGATAAGTGTTCCCACAAGCAGTTCGCAAACGAACGCTGGTAGGATCGGGCGGCGTTTGGGAAGCGGGATGATCCGCAAGCGCTGCCTGCTGGCTGATTCCTCCTCTGCGCTGTTCCTATGCTGACTGCTAGCCGTGAGTCGGTTTGGAAACAACAAACACACGCACACACATATCCGTATTTGAACGACACTCGTCGAACGTGTCATGCCGATCATCGACGTGCTTCGGGTGCAGCGTACAGGGTGCAGCTTGCAGAACGAGGTGAAGGAAGATGAGAAGGAAGGTAAGGAGGAGGAGGAGGAGGAGCAGGAGGAGGAGGAGGAAGAGGAGGAGGAGGAGGAGAAGGAGAAGGAGGAGGAGGAGGAGGAGGAGGAGGAGGAGGAGAAGGGCGAGGACACCGCCTGCCCTAGTTTTAAAGAGAACACTGGCCAGGCGGACGTTTTCTGTTTGGTTTCGGCCTCTGGGGGCCCTCGCTGGGTCCTGGGGCCGTCAGAGAACAACTTGGGACGGGGAGCCAGCCCCGGGAAAGGGTGCAGTCATCCGGGGGCACACGATGTGAAACAGAAGCGCTGCGTTGGAGTCGTGGGGAGGAGGAGGGGGAGGAGGAGGAGGAGGAGGAGGAGGAGGAGGAGGAGGAGGAGGAGGAGGAGGAGGAGGAGGAGGGAGGAGGAGGAGGAGGAGGAGGAGGAGGAGGAGGAGGAGGAGGAGAGGATACTGATAACAGTAGTCATCAGGACGTGATGCTTGTATTCTCCTTTGCTTTGCCGCACGTTTGCGGCTCAAGCTCTTGGGTCACATACGATCGATGCACCAGTTCCTTGTCCGAGCTGGCACCGAGGTTGCCCGCGGGTTCTCTACTGCGCTGATCGTCCGCGGCGACACGCAGCAGTGCCCAGCGTGCGAACCGCGCCTGTCCTGTGGCGTCTGCCCGAAGCTGGAGTGTGCACCTCGCCCTGAGTGCTCCCCTCACCTCCAGTGCCCCAGCCTGGAGCACTCGCCACCAGGAGGGCTTCTCCGTGATCTACTTGCTGGGCTGGGCTGCCTGCTGGTGGCCACGCGTGCCGGGTATCTTGCGGGGGGCGGAGCGGGGTGCCTTGGACGCTCAGGCCGCCATCCGCCTGGCTTGGAGCGAAGCCTGCCCCGCCTGTGGGCTACGGGGTGCCGCCCGGCCTTGCGTCGCCCGAGCGCGTCGCCGCGCTAACGAGCGTGGAGGAGGACGCGCGGCGGCAGGCTAGGAAGGCTGCAGCGGCCGCCCAGGCTCGTCGCTGATTGCGATGCCCATCCTGTTGCTACGGCGTGTGGGGTGGTCGCCGGCGGTTTTGTGCACGTCAGGTACAACTACGCCCAGCGGCTCTGGCATGAGCGTTTCATCGTTCACCTGGTTCCCAACGCGGGGCAGCTAGTTGCCACTCTTACGCCAGATGGCGATGAGTATGACGAGGATTTCGGGGGGCCCGGCATCATCGAGGTGATCATCGGAGCGGGCGCAGGCGCTGGAACCGCGGTCGCAAGCATCGGCGCCGATCCGATGCACTGGTTCCGCGCGGTGCCGACGGTGGCCTCCGCTACGGCAGCCCGAGCGGCCGCTTGAGCGGCATGGCCTGGCAGCGCCGCCTGGGCAGCTCATCCCCAACGTTGCTGGACGGCCTGCTGCTCTTGGAGCTGCCGCTGCTGCCGGCTCACCCGCTGCCGCCGCTGGCGGCGCCGCGCCCGCCCCCGCGGGAGCTCTTGGCGCGGGAGGCGGCGGGGCTGCTGCTGCCAGCGGGGCCGCCTTGGCGCCCGCCGGTGGGCTCGGCGGCCTGGTGGCTGCGCTGGGCGGCGGAGGCGCGGCCCCCCCCCCGCTGGCGCGCAGGCGATCGTCGCCGGCCCAGCTGCCGCGGTGGCGCCTGGGGCGCCGGCCGCAGCCCCCGGGCGGCGCCTGGCGCGGGCGGAGGCCCCGCTGCGCCCGTTGCGTCCGCTGCGCCCGCCGCCCTGGCTGCGGCGGGTGCGGGCGGTGCGCTTGGAGCGGTGGCGCCTGGTGGGGCCGCTGGCGTGGGCTACTTCCACCTGCGTGTGCTGCCCGTGCAATGCGACCTGCTGGGAGAAAGGCTGCTGTCCTTCGATCGCGCGGCGCAGTCCTGCCGGGAGGACCTCTTCCCTGGCTGGCCTGTCAAATGGCCCCGCTCGTGCTTCTGGGCGTGTCGCTACATCGCGTGGAATGGAAGATCGCCGACGGGCCGCCACGCCCTTGGGAAGCATGGCGCCAAGTTTCAGTCTCAGGACGCCGGCGTGTCGGAGCATGAGCGCCGCTGCCGGCTGCTCGAGACAATGGCGTGCTATGACCAAATCAACCTGCCGAACAGCACCACGGCAGAGCACTTGGCCCGATCGCTGCAGGGGCAGGAGGAGCGCTGGCGTGAGCGGCTGAGCGGCCACCAGGATGATGCCGTCGGAGATTCGCACTTGTTCTACGGTGTGAACATCATCCGAGCCGGAGGGTGCGTCTGCCCCGAGCTCACGGAGTGGGTCGCGAAGGAGCTCTCGCGTGAGCACGCGCTGCTCAGGGGACGTCGGAAAGCCAGAAAAGAAGGAGCAGCGGCCCGCAAGGGCAAGAAGAAAGACGACGCCTGATCCAGAGTGTGGCCAGCAGTGTGGGAGGGGGTGCCCTGGGCCGCTTTCTTCGGAGCCGCTCAGCTCGGTCTCTGCCCCTACACCTTTTTCTTCCATTCAGGCCATGCCGCCGGGGGCCGACCGTCAGAGGGATGCGTTCCCGCTGCCGCCGCTTGGCCGACGATCGCTCTCCGTTTGCCAGGGCGCGGCCTGTCATGCAGTTCAGCAGGGGGCACGCCGCCGCATGTTGGATTGCGCTGGCGCCGCCATATGTAGCCTGAACCACCTTAACAGTCTGCACGGTGTCCCGCAAGCCTCCCGCGGCAGTCTCCCTTGCCTCCCCCCCCCCTTTTTCGATTCATCGCAGCGCTTCGCGCATCTGCGCGTTCTTGATTTTTTCAGGAAGGTGGGGGCCCAGCCAGCCAAGTTGACAAGCTAGGAAGCCCTCCGCGAGCGTCTTGCCGGGGAATCGATCTACCCAGATAGCTCCACCCGCAAGCCTCACTCACGCGACTCGTGGCTTGGGCGGATGTCGGAACGGAGCCCGCACTTGTGGAATATTGTCTGCCATCGGTCGATCGTGAATGGTAAGGTCTTGGCGTTATAATTTGCTTCAGCCGGTTGGTGTAGCCAAGGAGCAGCGCCGTTCGCTCGGCCTGAACTGTCCTTGCGTTGACCTTGCCTTGCGGACTCCCTCTCGCTATCTA